TGTTTACAAGGAGACATTTACAGGAATCAACTGTGCGCCGCTGTTCAAATGTGGTCATAGTTGGTTTGACTTGGTTTGACTTGTGATGCATTTGGCCGTCACTGATGCCGGATTACAGTGCTGCGGCAAAGATTGATGAATGGATGATAGCATTTGCATTATTCATTACAAATATGTGTTTATGGCTATAAGCAATTGGATGAAAGATGATTGAACTGCGGCTCTGTTCAAAAAGGATTATGTGTAAGCAAACACACCAAAAAGACAACAAAAGGCCACCACCAAGTCACTCTGCATACCTCAACTTGTATTGGGCTATGCTATAAGTCAGGCTTGTCAAAGTCAAATACATCAGAGGGCCAAAAAAAGATTTTTGCTACGTGCCGAGGGCCGGACTGGTTCAATGTTTCTCAACATCCAGAGGCAGTGCCGGTGACACCTGTTGGCTCGATAAAATATGCTCCAAAGCCAATCCTCATATTGTACATATTAGATGTAATAGACATCTGAGAACATGAAAATAGAAAAAAAAGAAAAAGCTCAAACTTGGTGAAGAGCAGTCTGGACCTCTTTTCGGGGCGTTTTTTGATTAAATCTGAAGAATGGATTATACTTTGGGAAATACAAGTGGATATTCTTGTTCAATAGACAGTTACGGAGAGAAAGAGACTAAGCAAGGATGGGGAAAGTCTAATTTGTTGGAGCAGCAGAAGACGAAAGGTAAAAAACAAATACAGACTGATTTATTTTGTGCCTATATTATGCGTTATATCTTTTTAATGCAAAGTCTGATATCGTTTACACTTACATATAAATATAGCTGAGAAAATAAGCTTTAAAATGATATATAGCTTGTGGCTTATGAAGTTCAAAATACATCTGCTATTGCCAGCAGATTTTTTTCCTCGTTTGCTCCCGCCGGCGGGGGCTAGCGAGCTTAAGGGGTCAATACATTGCCTCGATGGCAGGCAATGTCCCGGGGGCCATAGATAATTCATTCGCAGGCCGGATTTGGCCCGCGGGCCTTGACTTTGACACATGTGCTATAAGTGCATAAAGGCATTTTATCTGAGGATTTTATCAATTACATTTTATTTACAAAATGGTTGTTGCTTTTCCTCTGTGACTAATGTCTTCACTTGTGTAGACTGCAAGATAAGTTGCTATGAAATCCAAATGGTCAAATCGATTGAATGGTCACAATTTAGTCGTTTGCAGAAAACAATATATCTAAAAGCTGATCATTCTGCAAGTATCTTTCTAGCTCTCAACCACACAGTGCTGACCCCATGGTCTAAATGACCCACCTGTGTTGCCTGCAGGGAAGTAAATAAATGTCAAGACACAAGAATGGTCCAAACTTTCTGAAACAAATAAACAGCAGAAATGAAATGAGCCAAGTGGAATTAGCCAATTAGCATCAAAATATGAGGTTATGCTTAAAATGACCTTAAACCAATCATGCTATGCCTCTCCACAAGATTGACTGACAACTAAAACTAAACGTTATTATGTGTTATCATATTCAAAAGGCTTACATTTGCACAGTAAAAATGGTAAAAATGTTGTTTTTTTACTTGAGTTTCATTTTATAAACCATAGTACTAGGTCAGTGGTGAACTGGAGGCACTTGTTACAACAGTACAGTACATTGAACTTCCTCTACTTCTGTTTACCTTTGATATGGGAGTGAGCCTGTGTTGGACCCATGTATCTGATTCTGACATGTGTGTTGCCTTCTATGTTCTTTTCATCACATTTTGTCAATCTGACACTCTGAGCTCTGGCCAGACTCCAAGGGACTGATTGGTTCTCTCAGGCAACTCATTTCAAGTGGGTTTGAAGAGCCAGTGATGAAGTAGGCCTGTCACATGCATGTAATAAAGATGTGGTTGATAGATCTGATCATACTACGCCCTAAACCACAGCACTAAGAGGAAGAATGGTTAAAGTTGGACAAAACTAATGATGAATGTGCATAGAGCTAAACTGAAAATGTACTTGTTATTTTACTTAACATGTACTAGGAATCAATCAATATATCAGTTGGCCAATTTTTAAGTCTTGGAGACATGGTTTATAAGTCGTGACTTCACAGACTTCACCTATTTTTGAGCAACAGATCATGCTAACACTAACTCAAAGTAGGAATTGAAATCATATGCACAGGTTCACAATGTAATTTAGCCAACTTCTGCTCTGGTAATGTACACGTATTTCTTCAGTCCTGTACCGGACCTGTCCACGTTCAACGGCCGCTGGTCCACGTTCTGTAGCTTAGGTCCTGGATCTATAGCCCGTCCGTCCGTGGGAGCGGATCCCTTTCTCAAACTATGGGTCTCCCCGAGGTTTCTCACTTTTTCCCGCTGGGTTTTCTTATAAGTTTTTCCTTGCCGATGCAGGAGGGTCTGTTGGGCAGTTAGTGTCCAACTAGAAGGACTGTGGTGATGATCCAGGACACTTTAACATTCTACCACATGTATGGACATTTTTCAACACGTGTTCTATATTCTTTATGTGTTTTAACTGTTGATTCTCTGATCTGTGTTGGTGATTTCAATAGTTTTGTTAAGTCCTCTGAGATGACTTCTGTTGTGATTGAGGGCTATACAAGAATAAATTGTATTGTATTGTATTGTATTGTATTTCCTAGTAAAGCTTAGAACTGCCACAATTCACTGCAAGTGAGAAAAAACAACCAACAAAAAACCGTGTTGTCTTTGTGGTTGTGCAGACATGAAAGCAGAGAGTTTCTTTTCCTTCAATGAAAGACATGGACGATCATTTATTGTGGTGGAGGGAAGGGCCGGGGGAAATCATCTGATATAAGGCCAAAATCCCTTCAAATGGTTCTAAAATTCTCAAAAAGTCATTTACGGAAATATTTGTTGTATATAGTGTTCTACATACAAAACATATTTGAGATTGTATATTGTGCGTTATTATTGTGATACTAGGTTGTACTGTATGAACCAGTTTAATATGGACCCTTGAATCTAACTCAATATTGTAACAACAACGCTTTCAGTTTTTGACACAAACTTTGCATTTTTTTTTTTCTTTTCCAGGACCCATTCACTTTCCAACATTCAAAATTTACAGTTCCACTAAATTTTAGAAAAACCACATCAAGTTTGAGAAAATTGTTTTTTTCTCTCTATGATTTAATATTGATTATGACCATCCATTTCTTAAAAAGAAATCAGCTCTTTCTGCAGTTTGTTTTTGATACGTGAGCCTTGAATAATTATACGTGTAATGAATGAAAAAACCCTGCTTCAGATGGATTCTTCTAATGTATGATTGGAAAAGGTTATACGAGTGCACTTGTCCAACACAGCTTCCTGCGGTCGGTATTTAATTAACTCTGCTTGTCCTTCAAGCTTTGGAGTCCATCCTCGTCCACACATCAAAGACAGGTGTTTTCATTGCGGAACTGGCTGCATTAAAAAACGCTCGGGAGACTAACCTTGATAGAAAAAACATAGACATTCGGGAGCAGCACAGTCACAAAGATGGCCATGTTTGAATCATGAAAATAGTCTATGTATTATGTATTTCACTATGTTGTACGGTGCACAGTGAGGGCCATTTGTCATTGACCTTATTAGCCTCCTGAGTACACTGAACTCATGTGATTTTCTTTTATTATTGTGGTCATAAAAAAAATCCTTGACCAGTAGCAGAATACAGTGGTCACTTTACAGCAAATGGAGGGAAAGAACAAGTCAGAGAAACATGGATTACGTTGGGCGACCATATTGGAGGTTCTTTTGAATGTCTCAAAATATTTTATGTTTTGAGACATTGGTTTCTTTGCAACAGTGAACGTTTTAATGGTGATGGTACATTTTCCTTTGCAGGCTTATCTTTGCTTTGCTTTGCTTTTCTTTGGAGATTACTGATAGATAGATAGATGGATAGATAGATAGATACTGTAGACTTTTTTTGTAAGTATTTAGATTCACTATGCAATAATATTCTTATGTCTAAAAGTCTTTTACCGGTCAACACGATTCATATGTGCAAAGTATGTACAAAGTGAAACATATGCTTTTTGAATAGTGTCATCACGTCTAAACACCTGCATGAGAAAGTAATTACGCCAAAGAAGATGTGGAACTTGGTGACAGTGTGCTTCACGTGGACTGGCCCATGATTTGACGAGAAATTATCTATAAACTGCGACTTAAAATCTGACTTTTGACACAAAAATAGTTACCAGAAAATCCAACAAAACTTGAAACTATAGGTTCTAGAAATGTTGTGATGTCACATGAACAAAACCTTTTTACAGTAGATCTATTTTTTTTATTTTTTTATTACTACTGTAGTACTAGGTAGAGATTATTAGGCGTTTGAAATTCACTTTTTTACCGTCAATACAGTGTGGTGTGGTCACATGGGTACGTCTTATGGTTATATCACTGTCACATGACCACATGACCGCTCATCTATCCACATTTTTATAATAATAACAGTTAATTATTGGCCATTGTTTCAAGAGTTTGAATAAGACTTCTGAATTTCTGAAAGCGGTTCCCTAATCTTTAAATTGTTTTGATATATCAGACTAAAACTAATTTTCTGATTGGATTATGAAATGTTATGTAAAATATGCTGCCCTTTGCTGACAAGAAGAAACATATGGGTTTAACTTTCTCAGGTGAATAGGTTATTACCCTCACTACAGGGAGCTGTAAACACAAGCAGCTATGGATAATGTAAATGCTGCATGACATTTAGACGTAAAAAGTATTTTGCACCATTCCAAACAGGCTTTAAGGTGCCTGACATCTATAATAGGCTCCCATGCTTTTCTTCACACACAAATCTTCTCTCACCTATCTCTATCTCTCTCTATCTCTCCTCTGGCTCCCCTCTGCTCCGCACTGGCAGCAGCTGGACTCTGCTTAGATGCATTATTTGTCTCAGTCCGGTCCGGAGCGCAGTGTGTCCTGTCTTGACATCCTCCTTTTCGCTCTTCCATGTTTCTCCAGAGTTACAAGCGACCAAACAGAGCGGCCCCTCCTCACCCGCCACTCAGGAACTGATGACAAGGCTGGGCTTTCTACTGGGAGACGGGATCCCCGGCACGGCACGCATACCTATGGACGACAAGAATGAAAAGAAGGTATCTGATGGTTTTTTTGCATGTTCATACTGCTTCTCCTCCCCCCTCTCCTCCCTCTCCTCTCTCCCGCTCCTAACAGCAGCTGCAGCTTCACTTGCAGCTCGAGAGGAGAGGATGATAGGAGCCTTGACTTACCACTACAGAATGGGATTTTTGGTTTAAGTTTTTTTACGCTTCCAAATTGGAATTTAGCAGGCAACTTTTCTTGGAACGCTGTATCTGGGTGGAACTCATCACGGTAATGGAGTTTGTTCAGTTATAGTATGTCAAATAATTAGTTTGGTTCATGTTATGTCAATGAAAATGTTATGTCAGGATCTTAACTTTGTATTATAGACTGAAACTTTTGTATTAATTAACTTACCGATACAAATACAAAAGTAATTATCTCTTTTGTGCTGTGGAAAATAATGCATATGTCTGTTTTGTGATAAACAGTGGATAGCACAAAAAGGTTGTATACTGTAGGTCCATATTGGAAATGGCACCAACAAGTATTTTATGGTTAATTAAGTTATTTGCTCGTAGCGAAGGTGTTATACAACTTAAAGGTTATTCATGAAAAGGCACATGTGTAATGGTCATTTACTGCAAGCCAGTTATTATTAAAGTGCTGTTATAATGTAATGGTGCCCAGCCCTACACAGTTTGTCATTTAACTTTTGAGACAATTCATGGTTTTCTGAGGTTTAAAGCGACACTGTCATTACTATATACACTCAACATTTATTTACCATTAGACCCCAGACATTGTTCATTGCTTCATGACAGTATTTGTGCATATTTCAGCCTTGTGTAAATGAATGTACTTGTTGGAATGACAGAGCATGTGTTGTTTGTTGAGGCTGCCAGTGCAGTCCATTAGCCTATGGGAAACACAGTGCTCTTATAGACCTTGTAACTGGAGGAACCCAAGACGACTCCAGAAATAGAGTTATGTTAGGTCAGAGACTTGGTGCGTTTGGCCCCGATAATTACAACACGTTCTTCTTAAAGAGCAGAGGAGAGCCCACAAGTGATTCATCTCACCGTGGAACTGAAGTGGAGGATGCCAGACAAGCAGCTGGGGAAATTTTAGAAGACGTTGCTAATTTACTGAATAACAAATTAGAGTGGTGTGATTCGACCTTGTTTGCTGTTGTATGATTTGTATACATTGTGTGACACAAAACAAATATATATTTACAGTGTTAGTGGAGTAAGGTTAATACATCAAACTCATTGTGATTGTGTCTTTTTGAAATACATACTTTTATTCTTTTATGGATTTTTCTTATTACTTTTCGAATTATGATATTTTCTTTCCATTAAAATCAAATTATTATCCATGTTTTTAGAGCTCTACAGCAGATTTAGAAAACGAGGATCCCTGCAAATGTCAAAAAGAAGTTAGTAAAAGATTAAACTACAGAAACACTCGTATGTGCTCCTATGCAAACCTTTACATAGGAGCACAAAAAAAGTCCAAATCCTCTCATAACTTTTGGACACAAGACAAACACTGGTGATCACTTTCATGGGCGGAGGTAATTAGGTCGTATTTCTCTTAATTTGAGTGCATTTTAGCCATTTTATTTGATGAAGACACAAGCAAGTCCAGTCTTATCGAGCAACCTTCACTGATGGGCTTTGATATTTTCTTGTTGCCATCTATACATACAAAAAATACATCCCTTATCCTAAATGTTTTATACTTGATGCAGCTTGTGTGGCTCAAATGAGGATTTCTCATGGGAACGAGGGAAAGGAGCTTGTTATTGTCATCTGCCAGCAATTCTGTTTTCCTGAATGCTGCTTTACAGCAGGTCTTAAACTCAGCAGGTAGTTGTTTTCACTAAATTACACAAATCCGATATTATACATTTTGGTCGTATCACAGTGTGTTGTGGGCTACCGCCTCAGGCCTGTTGTTGTCAGGAGGAAATAGCTGGGAAGCATTCAACACAAAAAACGGCAGCTGTTAAAAATCCACCTAATGAATGAAGGTTAGAATTACAGAAGTGACAAATCCACATTCTTCACGTTGTTTGCACGCAGCAGTTACAACATTGTTATTTCACAAATGGTATGTTTCCAAGAGCTCTTGACCTATCTCTGCATAAGAAAACATATAAGCAGTCGTCAGATGTTACTTAAATGTTTACAAATAATTTAATATTGATGATTTGTTTGATATAAGAAATATAAGTATATGATCATTTGAGTCTATCACATTAACTGGATACAACATGGATGCGACCTCATCAAACTAAAGATTAAGATCTGATATTACAAGGAATTAAGAGATCTTTAATTCACCCCACAGCGGGAGAATTTCAGAATAAGGGTAGGATTGTAGGCTGGGATAGGAGATGGATGTAAACACACATTTTATGGGTAATCAACTCAAGATTACAAAAAAATACAGCTCTGGCGACAGTAGAAGCTCAAGAATAACAAGGCCAAACATAGACATGGGGTTCCGTTCCACTGCATGATATATACAACACTGACCTAAAAGAAAACAATACCTGTCACTTTAACCAAATTGTTTACTTTCCATTAAAACTGCAGCCATGTAACAGAGTAGAAGTTCAGTTTAGGACTTTCATAATTCACAATTTTGTAAAAATGTTGCGGTTATGATTAAAATCTACAAGCATTCTTTTGATTCACTTATTCTCCGGCGATGCTAGCTCAGCCTAATAATGCATAAAGTAGGGCAGACACAATACATTGCTTAAGGATAATTGGACTGCACAGCTTTCAGAGATGACCACTGTTTCGCTAGAATCATTGCACGCTATTGTACATTCTGCAAAGGCCGGGGACAATTAGGGAGAAGATGAGAACGAAATGCTATAATTGAGATTGCCATGCTTGTCTTGCTTCTCAAAAGAAAAAATGTAGCTCCTTTGTGCTTGTCAGACAGGCTAGCATAAAAAGGTATGTATTCTACCACAACAAAGTATATTTTCAGTGCTAAAATTCCCTTTGGGCTTATTCCCTCAAGATATGAGTGTGTAATTTTCCAGCTGCGTTCTGGGAGCTTTGGAACGTTATGTTGAAAGCTACATGCTCAAACTTTTTTTCCAACTGTTTTTGCCGTGCTTTTGCTTTCCCTTGTCAAATGTGTGATGTATTTTGAATAGCATTTTTACTTGATATTCATAGTGGATTCCAAATATGGTTCAGAAAGTTGAAATGGATGCTGCTCATGTTGGAAGAATGTGAGTTTGTTGCCAGGACAGACAGTAAAATGACTACATCAAGAACCAATTTATATGGAGATGGTTCAGGGTTTACACAGGCTACGGGAGAAGATTAGACCGGACTACTCTTTCTCTGCGTTAACATGCGCATGAGTTTGCTTAGAAGAATTCCTTTCAGTCGCTTTCACCACCGAATGCTTTGTTTAAGGGTTGACCTACTGTATATGTAGTTAAAACATTGGAATTGTTAGGGTTGGGTTAGGGTCAATGAAAGACTCTGTGCAATGATTGTAAAACTAAAAGTGGGAACAGCTTTGAAACGTTTTCGGAAGTGGGCAGAAGAAAACCGACGTGAAAAGTCATACATAGACTGTAAAATACTTTAGTAGTGGGTCAAGTCACTGTGGCATCACACTGGGAAGGGTTATCAATACTATTCATATAGCTGACTAATAAACTCGCATCCATATGTGAAATTCTGAGTGTCTGCCAATTAGGAACCACTAACACACAATCACAGGACGGTCCTTGTAGAACTGGGGTTTGATTGATGAAGTTGCTTGCCCAAGGATCCAACGGCAGCGTGCATCTGCGGAAGCTAACGCACTACTTGTGGAACATGTAACTTTCATACCAACCCACCCCTTGTTTCAATAAATATAATGTCTCATATACAAGCCTGGCACAATCATATTATCTCAACCTTTTGGTCAATAATGTTATATTTTGGGCCTCATTCTTTATAAATTTTGCTGTAGAAATGTCCGTTAGGGCTAAATATGCATATGCATATAAAATATCGATAAAATATCGTTTTATTTTCTTTTCCCACGCTGTTGCTATTGAAATGGATGCATTGATCAGTTGCTTTACTTAGATTATTGTGATTTATTGTACTGTCATCAGTGGAATGAAGAGGTGTATATTATAAATGATTGTATTCATTTTCTGAAGAAATATATCATCCATCAAAATGTGTTACTGTGACAGGCCTACACACATTGTAGCTCCATGCTTACCATCTAACCCCCTGCTGTATTTGTTGACAGTGCTCAGTGACCAGCCAGGGGATCAGTCCCTGCTCCACTCTGACCAGCAGCACGGCGTCCCCCTGCACCGACAGCCCGTGCTCCACCCTGAATAGCTGCACGGGCAGACCCCCCCTCAGCCGCTCCAGCCCCTGTGGCACCATCACCAGCCCCAGCTCCACACTCGAGAGCAAAGACAGTGGGATCATAGGTATACAGACACATCACCAGGACGCTTATAAAACATAACAATACAGACTACCATACATAACAATTTATATTTGGATTGATTTTCAAACTGTTCTGATGCGTTTTGGCCCCATCTCTGTGTGCCTGTGTGCTCTTTCCAGGTGACTCTTTCAAATGAGTCTCTTTTGCCTAATCCCAATGATACAATTGTAATCAGACAGTGTATAAGCACACTTTTGGCAAATGTAATGACACAACATCTTGTTTATTTTGAGCGTTTAATTTTCACACATGCTCAACTGCTGCAGCACAAGTCATTTAAATTATGCAGTGTCAATAAATGCTCCATGTGTCCTGCTTTTGCCGCATTTATCTAACCCAAAACATATGGACCTGTGTACATGTGTACTCGCAATGATCAAAATTACTTGCCTATATGAGTCCAAATACATATATTTGTAGTATCAGCAAGGCCTTTCTCTGCGCTTTTTAATGCTTCTGGTGGCCATGTCTTAAAAGGATTAGGTTTTTGTGGGTGCATAGCAGTGCAACCGTAGTGCTAACAGTTCGATCCAGTTACTTCAAACTGACTGTTTTTTTACTCCTCGATATAAGTTTACATGTCTTTTGTTCATTTAAATCGGACTATAGGAGTATTCTGGTTTTCACTACTCCTTTTTAAATGCAGTCCACGACAGACACAATCAAAGCTCAGCCTCTTCGCTGAAGCCAGGTGGGACATATGGAACGTGTGGAAAAGCTACGAGGGGAACTGATTGATTCACTCTAGGATATTACTCTTGCCGTGTTTTATAATATGGAGCATACATGGTAAGTATGAAGGCTTTATAGCAATCCCATAGGCCTTTTCAGTGCTTATAAATGACCACATTTAAGTGCTTAGCTGATTTTCAGTGGTTGAAGTAGCATAGAAAATATTGCAAATTGGGGGTAAGTGACAAGAAAATAGGTTATTTTAGGGACACAAGAATATATCAGATTAGTGATTTTGAATTAGTTTCTATTTTGATGATCATGTTCGTTAACTGGACTGCACTGAAAATTCAGAAACATAGACAGCAACATTTGAACATGGAGGAATTGGGAATACTCACTTTTCTCATGCTTGCAAAAAGGCAGACTTCAGATAGAACTGTGCATTAAACTCGGGATCTTCCCAACTTAAGGTAAACGTTATTTTATATCTCTCTTGCATCTTTATGTTGGCCAAAAATGTTCAAATACCAAAATGTACATAAAAGTACATCATAAACAGAATCATCCTATATTTAACAAGTACTTGTAAGGATATTCCCAGACCACCTTGAAAATCCCAAGAATGCCGTTGAAGAGCCAAGTCACCTGCACATTTAATAGAGGAAAAGGCCTCGATAAATTCTTATGGAAACAGCAGTATGGTGCTGGGCCAAAAACATTGTCAAAAATCTCCTAGCTTTGCACCAAACTCATTTATGAACATGATACATGAAAGCTGCTGAACTCTTGCTTGTAGTTTAACTGTAACAGTCACTCAGTTCAAAGCAGGCTACAGAACAGATGCCAGAGGTCTCGTGAGGTCATGCTGTCTCCAATATTACTCACTATAATAGCTGCGTGCATGTTTTTGAATCAAGGCTGTTTTTAATCACTGTTTCTGAAATACGACCATGTTGTGCAGCTAATGCAAAATTATTCACGCCCCGTTGAGAATACGGCATGGGTACACACAGCATTTATTTTCAGGAATGTACACTTGTTGAAGTTTCTGATTATGAATAGTTAATAGAAAGCTAAAGGCAAGGAACCCACAAGCATGACAATGAACTGTAAACTACATTATTGCTCAAGTCCCATTCTTTTAATCTTAGCTACCTTTGGTGCTATATCCGGCATATCTTCATTGCATATCAACTTAGAAACATTTGCATTATTTTTAAGGAATACAGGTGACACTCGGAAAATTAGATTATCATTTATATATAAACATCATATCATTATGTATTGCTATAATTTCACTTAACTTACATCCGCCCGTCCATTTTCCTCCCCTTTGTCCATTTCCGGGTCGGGGGTTGCAATCAACTTGTTGAAACCAATATATGACATCGATTCACAAAAAGCAGCATAACTCCTTCTTACTGCCTCTTTCTCCTCACTGCTCCTTATTTTTTACCTCAAGAAAAGGTTGATAATAAGGCAAAGAAAGGGTAAGGAAAACTAGGAATTAGATTGTTTTGCCGATTTCTGATGCACCATTAGTCTTCTAAAATGTATTCTATTTGTCACCTCCATCGCTGCTTTTTCAGTTATTTAGTTATCTTTGAAATAGTCCCCAATACTCAAACTAACAAGAAATGACAACAGTTATAAAGATTTCCCGACAGTGATTTCTTATTGGACTCGAGTTCACTCTACTGCTATAATTGATTTGAAGTATCAGTATCAGAAATCAACAGAGACATTCTGACATTACACTGTCTCTCGGTAAGAGACGTCTGTGCCTGGCTGACATTGAGCTGACATGGTGCATAATGTGTTTATCCATTTGCCTTCCACACAAGGGGTCTATCAGATAGGAGGATTCTATAGATGGATGGAAAGACTCATTGATTAGATTAAGACATTGATCTAATTCTTGTGAAAGACATTGGTCTTTGGGCTGTGCTTAAAATATCGATAATCTGTGTATTGATACAGGATGTTTTCATTTTATTTCAACTGGCGAGTTTTGCACTACTCGCTAAATACTGTCGTCTTCAAGGCTGAGAAAGTAGTAGTTCTGTTACTAAGACTATTGTAAAAGTCACAAAATACAGCCTCACTCATCAGAAAAAAGTTAAAGACTAAAAGGCAGCTGTCTTTGAAAAACAAAACAAAAGTAGGGTAATAAAACTAAGTGCTTTCGACTTTTTGACGCCCACAGCCCCAACTTTTCAACTGTACAAGGACAACATATTTTTTGTAAATTCAGGTACTTATTTGCATTTCTATGTAATAGGTTTTACTAAATACTAGAGAAAATGTGCATGAATATTTATGTATTTTTTTCTCACTCAACTGAGAATTTTATAATATGAACATGAATAAAAAAAATCCTGACAATATCTCAGTCAAAAACAGTATTAATTGTTGTTTCCCAAATACACAGAAAAGAGAGCTCCTTTCATCATCATAGTTCATGCACATTACTGTTTAAGTTGTGTTCTGCGTGTAGACTGAGCAGAGAAAGCCATGTCCCAAAGACACTCTGGCCACCAGCCTGGATTAGTATTACACTGCAGTCTACCGCTGACATAATTGATCATTCTGAGTCAGTCATTTGTTTCCCTCGATATCAAAGCTCCACTGCTTGTTAATAATTGATGCGTTCTGTGACACGTTATCTCCCAGGCCTGGCTGAAATAAGCGTTGTTGTTTAGTGACGTTATTGCAAATGTCTGGATTCTGTTTTGCTTTATGCCACCCTGCCTTTTGCTCACAAGTCAAGTACGTAAAGATTATTTTTCAGTAGGTGCTTCAAGCGAACAGCCTGAGCAATAAAAGTGGCTGAAAAGTGCTCATTTTGGAATACAATATTGGTAGAGCAGTAAACACTGTAGAAAGCACAAAATATGACAATGTTTTAGGAATAGCAATTTAAAGCGATGATGCAACTCGCGGCAGTTTTATGAAATTGTTGTCAATGTGGTGTGTGGTGTGCAAACAGCCAGCTGGGCAGTTCCACTTCAGATACCAGCCATTTTGAACTGGCCGAGGAAAAAAGGATTGTTAGAATATGAATAGGAAATGTGTCAATTTTAACAGAAATCCCCAACAGAATGCTTTGATCCCAAACCAATTATGGAAAATTAGGATACATAGATAAAACTGTTATGCTGACATTAGGGCTGAAACGATTGAGTAAATCAAATTATTCTTTTACAAAAAACCTTGATCTTCTAGAGTCACTTGCTGTTCCCACATGACGCCACACTGCTCTGAGAGTGATGCCATGATTTTGTTTTTAAGATAAACATTTTAATTTATGCAGAACAGCCTCATTTTTTTAAAATTGTGAATTAATGTTTTTGGGAAAAGTATTTATTCAATGTTATTACACCGATTATTTGAAGGTAATAATCAGTCCCAGCGGACATTATTTTGTTAATTGTCCAATATAATACAGACGTTTTTAAGATTAAAACATAGTCAAATAATGGGTACATTTTGGTGAATATTATTTATCACAGATTAAAAACAACCTCTCAATGTTTATAAAGGTAGTCTCATAAACTTGTATTAAAAAGCCTCAGGCCTAAGAGAAACTGGTCTCAAGCTGCATTCCATCCTCAGGCCATAGTTGAGAGATTTAGACAGGTCTAATTTACATTAATATCTCAATATGTGGCTGGGAGATATTATGGAAAATTTATGATGGAATAATCCAACTAACAATTGCTTTGAACACCCGCATAGTCGATGTTAATGTAAGACCTAAAATATCTTTTAACTTTTCTAATTTTTTACATTCAGTATTAATGCATACAATACATCATTTGTGTTCTGTCTGTTAGACCCTTTGCCAAACACCAATCAAAAGAAGTTTGAACAATAGATCTCAGCAGGTTAATTGCCCAAATCTGTCACATTTTCCGTGCCGTGCAAAAGAGGGCTGATAAGACTGACATATCCGAGTGTTGATTAGCTCATTGAGGAATACAGCCTTCTGAGTTCAATTACACCTCCCAACATGCACCACTAATGAGGCCTGATGAATGGATAGAACACTTTCTAGTTGAAGAAATAAACATTCTCATTGGTAGTCTCCCACACCGGCAAATACAACATTATTGCATAAAGGCATTTTGTTTGGTCTCTTTCAAAGCTATAGTTAAAGTATATATTTCCCAGATATACTCAAGAATAATGAAGACATAAATGTGACTGTGTATCTTTAAAATACATTTAAACTAATTCTGTAGTTTGGCCATGCAAGTCCAACAGCAAACTAGTTGATTTTTTTGTTTGATATTTTTGTATGTGTTTTTAACTTGTATATTATAATCACAAAACTAACAGTAATAACGTTATACGCTATTGCCTCACTATGTATTGTGAGAAGTAAAGTAAAGTCCCGATGCCCTTACTAATCCTCCTGTGTCCTGGCAGCCACCATCACCAGCTCCTCGGAAAACGATGACCGCAGCGGCTCCAGCCTGGAGTGGAGTAAAGATGGGAGCCTGAGGGGGAGCGTCCGCAATGGTCTGGGACAGAGCTGCTCCCCTGTGGCGGAGGAGGACTCCAGCAGCAGCACACCTCATGACACGCCCTCCAGAGCGCAGCCCGCCACATCCACCACGGGGGCGGGACCACCGCACCCACCGACGAATCACTCGCCTGAGGGCCCTGTAGCTTTCCCCGTGCACACTTCCTCCCTCATAATGCCAAGGCCCAATTCCGTCGCAGGTAAGGACTAGGCACCTGTGTTTAAGATGGCTTTTTTAAAAACCGGTTCAGAGAATACAGTCTTACGCAAAACTCATTTTTTTAGCTGTGTGACACAACGTTGTTCACTCATCAAAAACATATCTGAATTTTGTTTATTTTCTGCACTTTAATCATTGGGAGCAATCCAGAACACGCCAATATTCCTGATCAAATAAGTAACAATTGGAATCCCCTTGGTTTACCAATACTGCTCCAGCACATCTTAATGGTCGTAGTTATGCCAAGGGGAGGGATGAATTTATATATATATATATATATATATATAGTTGTTGAAAAATGTGCCATGGTAATAAATATACATTATTTACAAAATAAAATGCAATGTAAATATATTCCTGACATGTGGTGTTTGATGTTTGAACCAAAGAAGTTATGTTTTGTATTGATTGTTACTTACTTCGAAATGATTATTAGTTTGATTCAGTCAGTATTTATTGTTTTGATGTACTGTAGTATAGACTCTTAAAGCACTTTAGTAATGATTTACGGCATAGCAGGCTGTGCATTTTCCTTCTATCTTTTTAGAGAGTTGTTTATAATGAATAATAAAAACATTCATATTCCACTGGTCTGTGACAAGAACTAGCTCAAAATGTGAATGTTCCAAAGTGTGTGTCGCCTGCAAACCTTTGAATTTATCCCATTATGTAAAGTGCTTTTTTGTTATTTGGGAGATTCGCTCTTTCAGTTGTAGATAGTATAGTAACTATACATAACTATACCATTAGCTACCTTTTCTTATTGCTTCAGAATGTAAGACAAAATGTCTTCTTACTCTTGTTCATGGCACCATTATACTGTAGCTCAAATGTGGCACGTATTGTAACCTCACTTTTGCAAATGACAAACACCCACATGCTAGTCCCATCATAAAGAACAATCTGTTACAAAGTATGGTATGTTTCTGATAATGGGCAAACTTTTTGACATTTTAATATGTATTACAGTAGTTTGTTTGAATCCTTCAGTGTCATGCCAATTACTGCCTGTAACTTGAGGCTCCTTCATCTTTCTGAGTGGCACTACCTGTCAGTGCAAGATTGTATGACATGACTTGTGCCGGAGGCAGGGAACTAACTTGTCATCCCCTGTCTGAGCAAAGGACTCCGGAGCGTGGAGCTAATGCAAAAGATGGTGGTGACAAAGTTTTACACCCAGTTTTTTAAAAGAGTGTTGTTTGCCAGCTGCCCTAAGTTCCCTTTTGGAATGCCCATGGTCAGTTCTATGACTGTATATTCACATGGATCGATGATGTCGGTTCTTCCATCCATCCATTTTCTACTCTTTAATCCATTTCTGGGTCAGGGGGGTGGTAGTCAGAGATGCCACCCAAGTCTCATAGCACCAGCCCCCCACTGACCCTCTGCAGGTGGTGAGTCCACAGGAGGACGGCTGCTCTCTGAGTGTGAGCATAGCCTTGATCTTTCAGTGGGGGCTTTGGGCAAAGTGGGGTTAAGTGTCTTGCCCAAGGACACAACGACAGCAGTCATCAGTGGGAGTCGGTGGAGAAGGTGCAGAGGTGGGAATTGAACCCACGACCTTCTGGCCTGTCGGTTCTTATCACTTTTAAATCGGGTTGCATCTCTATAAAACACTCATGATATTTATTAATGCCTCATTTTATGACAACTGAAACATCATTAACAGACTGTGACCAAAATCAAGCGATTTGTATATAGCAGACATGGAGAAGATCTTATGGGGGGATTTAACCCACAACCTTCAGGCCCAAAAGCCAATGCTCTACCAAGTGAGCCACTGTCACCCCAAAATACATAAATTCATGTGAAAACCAGCCAAACTGCTTTGAGGGAAAGGATCTCATTGGGTGGATTACTTTGTTCCATTGTTTGTGTTTTTCAAGTTAGGAACCCCAGCTTAACTCCCCCAAAGTAATCCTTTGGGGGGAAAAAACACTGTTGTGCCTGTACTCCAGTTTGAGAACCTCTGTCTTATGCAGCTGTTGTACATTGTGCTTCCATGTTGGAGCCACTGTCTGGCTGATCCGTTCTGCATTCCTGGCTGCTCGGCTCCTGCACACAGCTGTCACGGTTGTGGACGGCCCTGCTCCTTCGGCCCACTTTCTTTTAACTGTTTGAACTGTGTCGTTTGGGGCCCTCGCACTTACCGCCCCTCTGTTTTTCCTATTGACCCTGGCCCCTTGTTGTTGTAACTCTCCAAACCACCATATCTGCCTTTAAACCTTTTGTAGACGTGTTTTCCAAGCTGAATGAAGACGGACAGTTTTATGAGAAAGAATGTAAAATGTCTATTGAATTACACATATATAATACAGCATGAAGTTGTATTGGTATCTTTCACAGCCTTGGTTTCACAATCGTTCAATTCTATATGATTTCAGCTATTATTCTATTTCTACTTCTACATGGCCTTCACTTCTCTCTTCTTCAAAAAAAATAAAAATTCAAGTCTGTTGAATGAAGGACACGGCATTGTCACTGTTCAATCATGACAAGTTGGATGTACCAAAGAATGGCTCAAGAAAAGTCCTGTACATAGACATAAAAGACACATATATGTCACATATATGTTCAAGACCAAGCCACATTAGACCATATAATGATCTGATTTTTTACTAATTATGTGCCAGTTTGTCAGCAATCTTTATTTGATATGAACACAACAGTTACATTGTCCTACACTTTTAGGACATGTTGTGCTATTATTTTATTATTAAAGGAAAAAAACAAACTGACATGGTAGATTTACAGTATATGTATGTGCTTGATGGGTGCAATGATGGGCTGATGTCATAGATACAGTATGTAACATGACTGCCCTGGGAAAACCTGTAGAATTCACACCTCACTTCTCTAAGCCAGGGCTGCGGCATCAAGGCCAGTGTGACATGACTTCATTTAGGGCTATGGTCCACAGCAGACAACTGGGGTGTGTCTGGTTTAAAGGCAGGAGTAGTAATATCAGTGCTTGTAATGGTAGTTTTTATTTACCCTAACTTCGTCATCCTCATGATTCTGGTCAGAATGTGAACTTCACGCTGGAAAATTGTGAAGGTGGGGCAAAAGTTCGGCTCAACTCAGACTAGTATTTATAGTCATTGTACTTTAAAAAATCCGTCAAGTTATTTTTTCGTATTCTATTAATGATACTAATGTGTCTGGCCTGATCTCGAGCTTCGAAATCAAAGAGAGGAGTGACGATCACTGCAGCTCTTATGTGCCATAGACTGTAAACATTAACGGACGTAGTCCCGCTTATCTCCGCCGTTCAAACTAATGTGCCACCACTTTTGGCTTCTATGGGCGGGTTTTATACAGCTAAGAATGATGCACTTCCATCACGTTTAGTAAATAAAGCGGTGAGCTGCTGTGAACCAGTATTGAGCCAGGACTGAGTCAGGACTGAACCAAGACTGAACCTGAAGCAGGATTAACCAGTTTACCCCAAATGTAACCAAAATCAGCAATAGTGAAAAAGTAAATAAGAGTATTTAGCAAACCCTTCAATTATTAGTCTGAAATAATGTATAATAATTGAACTTGAGATGTTCAAATCCTAATCCGCCTTCGTCTAACAAATCTACTGCCGAAACATTAAGCAGTACTAGCTTTCTTTACTTTTTTTGTCTTGTTTAAAGAACTTTCTAAGCCTTAAACAGAAAAAGACAAAATTTACTTTTTACATTTGATTTGTAGAAGTGGTACCCCTTTCTATTGGCAGTAGCTTAGCATTGCGGTACAGTAGTTTGGGTGTTTCTCGTTCTTCACAGCAAGAAGGCTCTATGGTTTGCATGTTTCACTCTGTGTTTGGGAGGGTTTCCTCCGGACGCTCCATTTCCCCCATGTGCACTCGACACATGAATGTTGATCGTTGGCGGGGCTATGGCTTGAATTAATGGTGACTTCAGGGAAGCGCTTTGAGTGACTCGCCAAGTGCTAGGAACAATTATGATGAAATCTGTGCATGGAAAATGCATATTAGGATTCCAAACTCTATCACATTACATATCCAATTCTAGAGTATGATGCTGGTTAACTCTTGCTTCATTGCATATGCATGGAATCAGATGCAGCAGTAGTTTGGTTCTAAGATGTGCATCTGACTCTCAACAGTGAAATAAAACCCTGGTGCTAGACCTCAGCACTTAACATTTGGAAAAGTGTTTCCCCACTGTGCAGTGTATGTGGATGTAGCAGTCCAGATTTCGTCCTGTATCACACTACTCTATACTGTAACTCTACCTGACAGCGGAAGTGGCTGCACAAATATCTGGTTTTCTGTTTTCTGTCATTCTCGCTTTAATGCCAATCAACAGGTGTGCAGCAGGGCCCCTAGAATGCCAGCTATGTTTTAAGAAAGAATGTCTGGTCCAGCCCAGAAGTGTCATTTGCAGTGGCCTGATAAACTTGCCCTCGCCCAGGGACTGCTCAGTGCTGTGAGAACTCCGGCATAGAGCTTTGAACTGAGGCATGTGGTGGAGCATGTTACACACATGTGGGAAAGCACAGCTGTCGGTGTGGACAAACATGTATACAGGCAGTCTGTGTCCATGAAACTGAGACTGACGTGTGGGATTGATGTATTCATGTGATTGTGTGAACAAGATTGGACTAATGATCTATTTTCACGTCTAATGGAAAGATGAAATGGCATATAATTGTGTGTAAGAGTATTTAACATAAGAGATTTTTGAGTGGCTTGTAATTAGAAGGTGGGTTTGTACTAGCGCACTTATTGTGTCCTTGAGCAAGACAAGCCATTAATATGGTTTGTGATGAATGATTTGGCGGTGTAGTTTTTTCCAAAATGTGATGTGGAATAGACAAAAGTTTGAGCCCTGAAACTTCTCAAGAGACAAAAGACTACTGAAATTTGAATAAACAGAAAAATTCAAATAAACAGAAAATATACTGAAACGTTTGTGTGCAGCCAGGTGAGTGTGGTAAGTTTCATGAATTTAGGGGCTCATGTAGCAA